TGCATCACCATGTAATAAAATCTGAAGAAACAGAAAAACAGACCGCCTTTAGGGCGGTCATCCTAAAGGAGCCTACTAGCTCTCTTGGAAGCTGGGGGGGTGGGGGGGGGCATTCAGTAGCTTTCTCTGTGCTCAAGGACATCTCACTCAGAGTCCAGGGAAGTCGCTCCGTCCAGACAGTGGCATCTGTGGTCACTTGCTCTCTCCCTGACTCATCCTCTGAACCTCAAGTCCACTCCCATCTATCTGTGGCCAGAGCCCCAGGCCTTTGGATCGCTCCCTCCAAGTCCTATTAGTCTCGGGAACTATGACCACCAGCTGAGGGACCTGCTGATCTTATTAACATCTCTCTCCTCTCCCTACCCCCCACCCCCCCCCATCGCCAAGCCCCCACTGCCTGGGGTGACTCACCATGAACCTTCTCTCCCCAATACAAGGTTTTAGAAAGTATGGCTTTGTATTACAGGTTGTACACAAGACATTTTATATATTATAAATTCTGGTTATCTATATAAGTGCTAATGTAGATATGCTATTTATATATGCATATCTATGTATGCCAATCCTATCTCTCAAACCAGATTCTAATCTCTTTAAGATAAGGGACCTTGCCCAGCTGGTTTAGCTCAGTTAAAGCATCGGCTCTCGGACTGACGGATCTTGGGTTTGATTCTGGTCAAGGGCGTGGACCCCAGTTGCAAGCTTGATCCTGGGACCTGGCCAGGGCTCATGCAGGAGGCAGCCAATTGATGTCTCTCTTTCTCTCTGTCTCTCTCGCTCTCCTCCACTGTCTCTAAAAAAAATCAATGGGAAAAATATCCTCGGGTGAGGATCAACAAGAACAAAAAGAAAGATAAGGGACTTTGTTTCTGCTTCTTGGCAATCTTCAGTAGTGCCTTGGACAGTGGAGGGCAGTGATGTGAGCTTAGAAAATGCCTGTTTTTGACCTGCAGAGCAAGTAGCCTCCTCAGGCCTCCGCTTAGCCGCTTAGCCGTGGGGCAGCTTCTGAGCACACACCTTAGGGGCTCATCCTCCCCAGCGGGTGCCTGCCCGCCTCCCCCTCCTGCAGTCCTCAGGAGCTTCTGGTGAGAACCCTTCCCATTATGCTCTGAGCCACCACAAACCTGTTTTACCACTTTGTCACCCTGTCTCAGCATTGAAAATTCTTGTCGTTTGGTAAGCTGATCCGAAACCCCAAAGACAAGCCTCCTATTTTTTCCCTCTCCCTCCGCCCTCCTGATGTTCGATATCAGCCCCGATACGACTCCAGCGCAGCTCTGGCTGCCCACGCTCCAGCCGGAAGCCAGCTCCCCGTGTTCCGTGCCAGGAACATCTGCCTTAATGCACACTTGGCTCAGAGGGGTAGGAACGCAGCCTCCAAAGGTGACGGCCTAGGTTTGAATCTCAGTTCCCTGGGAACTTGGGAAAGTGACATCAGCCCTCTGTTAACTGTAACGATGGAATTGGAAAATTCACGCCAAATGCGTGACAGTGCCTGGCACCCAGCGGTGGCCCAGTGAGTGTAAGAGGGGTGGGTGACTGATAGCAAGTCACCTGCTTGAACTTGGGAAGGGACTCGGATGAACTGGAGGCTATTCCAGGATTATCGCTGCCTCATTCTCCTCCTTCCATTGTCTTTAGGCCTGAAGAGAAGTTTTTGTTCTGCCGACAACCCAAGGCCTCCAAACTGGTAAGCGTCAGAGCAGGGGTTAGAACCCACCGCTATTGGATTTGGAAGCTCATGTCCTAATGCGTCCCTTCCTGGCATCATCCTAGGTAACTCCCTCCCCATCCAGAAAACGTAAGCCCCTTAATAGGGGATAATACAGTCACTTCCTCCTACCCTTCTCTCTCTCTCTGCATTCCATGGGGGACAGTGAAACGTACCATTTCTTCAATTCATTGTCACCTACCCATTTTCAAAAGAAAAGGTCGATGGGGACTGGAGGGTATCTCTTAGGGGAGAATGAAAATCAAGACAAAAGCTGGGCATGGGGTCTGCCCGCTGCCTTGATCGCGTGTGAATAGGAAGGAGTTGAGGCTTGGCACACCGCCCCCGTGGGAGCAGGGCAGCGTGGTGTCTTTCTGCGTGTCCCCAAGGCCGCCCTGTCCGGGTGAGAGCTGCCTGGACAGGACGGAGAGGAGGTGGCTTCCGTCAGAGCCTTTGCCCGCTTCTCTGTCTGTGGCTGTGCTGTGGCCACCGGGCTCCTGTGACTGCGGTGCACAGAGAAAGGACAGCTGCTCAATTTGGAAATCCTAAAACACACACACCCCTTGCATCCCCTCCTCCCCCTAACCACACAACTTTTCTTTTTCCTGGAAAAAAAAAAAAAAGATTCATTCACTGTGTTCATAATGGTGACCCTTTGTTCCCCCCGCCCTCCCCACCCCAATCCCAAAAGAGTTCCTCTCCGAGCTGCTCTCGGAGCCAAATTCCAGAGCCTGGGTTGCTAAGGCCCCTGAGAGAAATCAGGTAGAGGCTGTGCGAGGAGCCGAGGCGCAGACAGACCGCTTCTGTCTCGCCCTGCTGGGCATTCACAGCCATCCTCACTGCTGGCAGAGGCCCGCCGGGCACAGCCCCTCCCCGGAGCCCCCAGCCCCTGGATATGCTCAGATACACGGTGTCTCCCCTCACGACCACCCCTTTGGGGGCAGGGCCGCCTCCAGGCCTGGACCCTCGCTCCGGGACCCTCCTCTCCTCAGAGCATCTTGGGCGGCCTCCGCTGCGGAAAGCTCCCTTTCGACCAGTTTCTCAAACTAAATCTGAGACCAGATTTAAGGTACCCGAGCTCGCGTGACCTGGCAGGCTGGCCCAGGCCCGAGTCCTCGAAAGGAATGGACGGGCTGTTTTCTGTGGGAGACACAAATGGGGCTTTGTTTTCTTTCTGAGGAGCTGAAATAACGGACAGGGAGCAGGAGGGCTGCGCTGTGGAGACCAGGACGCAGTCCCTCCGTCCCTCTCTCCTTCTCTCTCGCTCTCCTGCCCAGAGACACAGCCGATGAGACCAGGATGGAGACCTGCTCCGGGTCCTGATTCCCCACTCAGGTTATTTTTAGCTCAGGATGGTTGGCGTCTAGCTGGACACAGAAAGGAATGCCCCTGAGCAGTTTCTGCTCCTTGAATAATGGGCTTGTGGTGTTCCTTCCACTGTCAAGTTGCTTTTTCTCCACCCTGGACCGAAGCCTCCTTGCCTTTGGCAAAAGAGTGAAGCAGTTAAAACGCTGTGCCCCCTGGACCTTGTCATCACCCCAGCCTCCTTCCCTGGGGGCTGGGACCCCGGCCATCTCTGGTGTGGTCTGACCTTCCGAAAACATCATGACCCTTTGCTTTTTTTATTTTCCCCTCCAGGCGAGAAGTATTTTAATCCTTTACATTTGTCTACAGCAGTGGTTCTCAACCTTCCTAATGCCTCGACCCTTTAATACAGCTCCTCATGTTGTGTGACCCCTAATTTCATTGTTGCAAATTGAACACAAAGCATAGTGATTAATCACAAAAACAATATGTAATTATATATGTGTTTTCTGATGGTCTTAGGCGACCCCTGTGAAAGGGTCGTTCGACCCCCAAAGGGGTCACGACCCACAGGTTGAGAACTGCTGGTCTACAGCTTGCAGGCTCCCTGTTCACCACCCCATTTTCCGTCCTTTATCCCCCTTGATGTTCCTCACTGCTCTGTGACATGGCGGGCAGGTGACATTATCCAGCTTTTTTTAGAGGAGGAAACAGGCTCCTGGTGGCTGAGGGCCATGCCCAAGGTCAAGATGCTACTGGCAGAGGCCAGGGATGACATCAAACATAGAACAGCCCCCTACAAAAAGGAATGATCCGGCCTCAACTATCAAGAGTTCTGAGGTTGAGATTCCCAGATTAAAGGACTGGTCTATGCCATACACTAAAGCTACTCAAACATGCAAGCCTGCCAGAGTCAAGGACACGATCACACAAATTATTAATTATAACACAGTGTAATGAATGCAGTGTTGCAGCTAGGTGCAGTGTGCTCTGGGAACATGTGGCCCAGCCTGGAGGACCCCGGGAGGTAATCCTGGAAGGCTTCCTGTAAGAGCTGACACTTAGAGGATCCTCGACTTCAAGAGTGGTCTTGCTTCTACAGCCCCACACTAGGGACATTTGCAATTGAACATGGTCCTACTGTGCTTTATTCCATAGGCAGGACAGAAAGGAAAATTTTTGAGAGAATGAAGCTCTGTGGTCTGTGCTTTTCTCCTGGACACCCTGTGTCTCACCCCATCTTTTTTTTATTTTTTTATTTTTTAAGGGAGAGGGATAGAGAGTTAGAAACATCGATGAAAGAGAAACATCGATCAGCTGCCTCCTGCACATTCCCTACTGGGTATGTGCCTACAACCAAGGTACATGCCTTTGACCGGAATCGAACCTGGGACTGCAGGCCGACGCTCTCTCCACTGAGCCAAACAGGTTAGGGCTCTCACCCCATCTTTGACCTTTCCCGTTGATTGTCTCCTAGAATCGACAAGAAAATGTCTGATGCTCAGGGCAGCTACAAACTGGATGAAGCTCAGGCTGTCTTGAGAGAAACGAAAGCCATCAAAAAGGCCATCACCTGTGGAGAAAAGGAAAAGCAAGATCTCATTAAGGTACCAAAGTGCCCACGATGTGGGCTCCATCTCCATGTCTCCTGGGCACCTTCCTATGCCAGGCAGTTCAGGGCGCCGAGGCTTAAGTGAGATGGACCAGGGAACCCTGGCTGTCAGCTTCTCCATGTCACAGCTCTCTCGTGGGTAAAGTGGGGATAAATAAATCCTGGGTCATTCCTGGCAGGGCTGTGGTCAGGATTAATTACAATTGTGGTAAAGTTACTGAGTATGGACTGTGCTAGCATTTTCCTCTGCTCGTCTCGTATAGTCAGCATGATAGCCCTATGAGATGGGATCTGTGATTATTCCCATTTTGCAGGAAAGGACACTGAGGCACAGAGAGGTTCATGAACTAGCTCAGATCACACAGCTAGGAAGTAGCAGAGCCAGGGGATCTCAGGCAGTGTGGCTCCAGAGCCAGCGTCCACGCCAGTCTCTCCCATGGAAGGGGCCTGGCACCTAGCAAGTACCCACTCACTGCTGGCTCTTTACAGAGAAGTAGGAAGCGTGGGTGAGCCTCAGTTCCTACTGAATTACCAAAGGTGGCGAGCAAGGCACATGGAGAGTGAGAGACCCAGCGCTCCCTCCCGAAAAGGTGTGTTACTGACTCTGTCCTCCCCGTTCAGAGCCTTGCGATGCTGAAGGATGGCTTCCGGACCGACAGAGGGTCCCACTCTGACCTGTGGTCCAGCAGCAGCTCTCTGGAGAGTTCGGGTTTCCCGCTGCCGAAGCAGTACCTGGACATGAGCTCCCAGACGGACATCTCGGGGAGTGTGAGTAGCAGTGCCTCTTGCTGGGGGCCTCATGAGGGACCGCCCCCAGGAGACTGCTGGGATGATGGCCACCTCCTTGTGACTCACCTGGGGAGCCGGCTGGTGGCTCTCAATGGGGCTGGCTGCGCTCCCCCCCCCCCTCTCTTCTCATTGATTGTTAAGAGAGAGTGGAAGGGAAGGGAGAGGAGGAGAGAGAGAGAGAGAGAGAGAGAAACATAATGACACATCAACTGGCTGCCTCCCGCATGTGCCCAGAAGACCTGGGGCCAGGATCAAACCTGCAACTTAAGGTATGTGCCCTTGACTGGGAATCGAACCCATGATCCTTCAGTGCACAGGCCGACACTCTAACCACTGAGATACACCGGCCAGTGCTGGAGCTCCGTTCTCTTGCTGGAGCTCCGTTCAAAATATATTTTTATTGGCCCCAGCGTGACAGCAGATGGTGTCTGAGGAAAAGCCGGCACTTTCTCCACATCCGCGGTGCCACTGGGCCATGTGCTTGTGTCTAGACGCTGCACAGAAAGGGTTTTTGAAGGACCAAGCGTCTTTCCTTCGTGCTGTTTTGAGGCACTATTCTGTGTTTCTCTCACCAGCTGGAAAACAGGGCATTCTCCTCCTATTGGTCCTAAAACAATGCGTGCATCTTGCGGACCACTGCTGACTCCCCAGTTCCCAAGCTCCGTCCAGTCGCCATGGTGAATGGTGCAAGCTCTGTCCAGACATAGCTCATGAAAGCAAGAGCAGGCAATCCGTGGCTTTGGGGAGCTTTTGTTTCCTAGAGCAGGTGACATTGAACGAACTCGCTACCCGGCCTCTGTGGCTAAAATGCTCTTCCTATCTGACTTCTGTAGCTGTGTTCCCACTTGTGATGAGAAGCTATGTCCACGTCTGATTGGGTGAGCCTTATAGCTTCTTGCTGCTCCCGACAGCAAACAGGCCTTCCCCTTTCCTCCCCCTCCACCCATGTGCCAGCTACCTGCCGCCTGTGGGCCGAAATATTTGAGAACGAGCTATGTGCCTCCTTCCAGTTCTGGAACCTTCTCCTTGCTCACCCAGTGTCTCAGTCCTGACTGCAGCCTCCTGAGTTTTCGGTCGACCTCCTCCCCAGTGCCCCCAGAATGGCTTTTCTTGTGTATTGGCTGTCCCTGACCAGCTGTCCTCCGTGCTTCTGTGGCTTGAATGGGCTCCAAGCCGTTTGCGGCTGCGAGATGATATTCTGGGCCCTCAGCTTCTCTTCTAGGCGTGACTGATGTCTGCGTTTGGGGCTCTTCCCACGGCCTGAAGGAAGGAAAGCGTTTTTTGCCACCTAACTAGCTTCCTTGCGATGCGATGCGATGCGCACAGCCAGCTCAGTAATTGGGGGCTGTTCTTAGCTACGTCCCACAAAAGCCTCACATATTTCCTGAGCTCCTGAAACGCCACTGGGCACTGGCCACAGCAGCCGCGTAACCATCCTGACTCTGTTCTTCCCTCCAGTTCGGCACCAGCAGCCACAATCAGTTGGCGGAGAAGGTCCGATTGCGCCTTCGGTACGAAGAGGCTAAGAGGAGGTAATTGGGGGCCAGGGGGGAAGGGTCCTAACAGTAGAATTACTGTTGCTGAGGGTCCGCTCTTGCCTCCGTTTTACACTCCTCGTCTTGCTTAATCCTGCAGAGATTGTGAAGATGGGTATTATAATCATCATGTTGTAATCCTCTCTGAAACTCAGAGAGGAAGTGACTGACCCACAGACACTGAGTTGGATACAGGGTGGAGCTCTGCTCTGGACACACGTCTGGTAAACCTCAGAGCCTGCCTGTCTTTTCACCTGCTGGCCGCAGTGTCTGTCATCAGGGTTCTCCAATGATCCCCTACGCAGTTTGGTTTGAAGGAACACAACTGGGGTTTTAGCAACAGGCCAAAAGGACTATGGGTCCTGCCCCTGGGAGCAAGCTGTGCTTATAAACCGCGGGGTCCCTGGTGACTGGAGAGGTTCTGTGGCTTCACAGAACTCAACCCCACACGGTTGAGTTCCACTGCCACAAATAAAAAAAAAATTTCTTTTTAATCCTCACCCAAGGATATTTTTCCATTGATTTTTTTTAGGGAGAGTGTAAGAAAAAGGGAAAGACAGAGAGAAACATCAATGTGAGAGAAACACGTCGATTGGTTGCCTCCTGCACGAGCCCCCACCAGGTCCCAGGCCAGGGAGGAGCCTACAACCAAGGTACATGCCCTTGACCGGAATCAAATCTGGGACCCTTTGGTCCACAGGCTGCGCTCTATCCACTGAGCCAAATCTTCTAAGGCACACAAATAAAATAATACTCAGAGATGACATATTGAGAGCATCTGTTAGAGTCAGACATTGTACTAAAACATTCACATATAAAAAATAATAAAAATTAAAAAAATAAAACATTCACATATGCATTATCTCATTTAATATTAAAAGCAATGTATAGGATATCTTGTATTATCTCCATGCTAGGGAAGAGAAAGGTAAGATATTTAATGATTCTTCAATGTGGTGAAGTCAGAATTGGAACCCTGGACAATCTGGCCTCAAGTCCATCATCTTTCTATGCACTGAGCCAGCCTTGCTAGGAAATAGCCCACAGGACATTGCGTAGGTGAATGAAGCCGGGCATATGCATCCATTTTTCCTTAGGTTAAGTTCCTGGCTAGGGACCTTCCCAGCCAGTCCAGGTAGAGTGTGGCAGTGCCCAGGTCTGGCCGCTGTGAACTCCCTGGGAGCGGAACCCTTTGCTGCAAGGCAGAAATTCGATAGAAACTAGAGGGAATAAAAAAAAGGAGGGGGGGGATTTGTTGGTTTATTGAACTCAAGTCCCGGGTAAGCCAGCTTCAGGCACAGCTGTATCCAGCGACTCAAATGATGATATAAAGACTCAGTCTCTCTTCTTTTCTCCATCCTGCCTGCCTTTGTGTTGAGCTGCATTTCTAGGCTTACCTACTACCAGGTTAGCAACCCCAGTGGGAAGAGCACCACCCACCTTTCCCAAAAGTTGTAACAAGTTTGGAGTCTGAGACGCCCTGGCTTTTCTGGGTGAACCAATCATTTTTGTAGGGTGGGGAAAATTGGAAGGATCGGAAGGCCTAGGCATGGGTAATGTGCCCAGTTCTTGGAGGGAGATTGATGTCAGCTTTGTGGGAACCAAACGACTTGAAAATTTGGGAGGCGTGACTTCCCAAAGAGAATTTGGAAGATTGTGACCAAAAGAGAAAGACAGGGGATACTGGTCAGTCGGGGAAAAAATGCTCCCTGTGCACTATTTCAGCTCCCCCTAGAGGTCCCATAAAACAACAGGACTTCCGCGTTTGGACGGCCACTTTTTGTGCCCTCTGAAGGGGACTCTGAACCCTGGATCTCTTCCAGCCTGTGGTGATGCCTGTCTTAGGTCCTCAGTTCTGGGGAGACTAAGATTGGAATCTTCCCTCGGGTTGAGCCATTCAACTTCTTAACACAGAGAGAAGTCCTATCACAACTTCTCATCACGTCCTGCCTCATCTGCCTTTATCCAGCTTCCTGCCTCCCCTCCACCCATAGCTCTCTGCAGGAGTAGGGGAACGAGCCAGTCGAGGGGGAAATCAAGGCTGCAAGACCTAAGGGGTGGAGGCAAGGGGAAGCTGTAGTGCAAGGTCAGGTCATTGTATGCCATGCTTGGTCGCATGTGCATTTCTGGGCAGCAAGTCTGGTAGCTTCCTCAGATTCTCCAAAGGATGCAGGGCCCGAGGTTTGAGGAGCACAGGTGGAGACAAAGAGTCACTAGAAAGAACATGCAAGAAAGCATCCATCACCCCTCCAGTGTCCCACGTGTGGTTGAGCTGCTGCCAGACCCGGCCATTCCACTGTCCTCAGAGCAGCTGGAGAACAGCAGCAAGGGCTGTACATGTGAATATGGAATTTAAATTAATTAGTTCTAAGAATCCATGCGTGCTGAGACACTTGGCTGGGGAGTGGGCAAACCAAGAAGTATCTCTTTATGGAATTTTCACTACACAGCACAGACATCTTGTCTCCCACCGTGTTTTGATAAACTAATATTGGGCCACATTGTCTGCAGATTTGATCAAACTGGGAGTCCAGAGGCCTGGGCTCTCAACAGGTCAAAGCCATGCTGTGACTCAATCGTAGGTGAGCCTCTCTGGACATGTGTCCAACAGGGTGACCACCAGGTCTCACCCATCCTTTGGGGACCGGGAGAGAGGGTAGGACATGGTAGCTAAAAGCACTTTGCAAAGGCTAAATCCTGAAGGATCACATGACTGCCTTTAGATACGTGCCTCCGTGCTCTGGATTATACTGTGAATCTTAATTTGGTCCAATGATAATCAGACCTACTATCTGCAGGCACTGGGCAGTGTATAAAGAGCCCTGAATGGTATGTTCTCACTTGGTCGTCAGAACCCACCTCACAGGCACAGGATGCTCATTCTCAAAGAAGTTAAGGGACAGGGCTCCCGACTCCTTCCTTAATGTTATTAAGTACCTGCAGTATACCAGGGAAAGTGCTAGAAGCTCGTGATGCCAAAATGATTTCTTAACAAAAATGACCTTTTATCAAGAAGGCCAGAGCCAAAACCCCAGCTCCAGGCCGCAGGCCCCAGGTCCATGGTTGCTCACACGGCGCTGCCACCACACTCACTGGTTAGCAGTTGTGGTCTTAGCTATGGTTGTAGGGGGCCCGTGACTGCCATTGGTTTAGTACCTGTTATGTACTAAACAGGTGCATACTTTAAACATCTATAATAGTAAAAACGTAATATGCTAATTAGACTGGATGTCCTTCCAGACCAAGCCGGTGCTGTGAGGGAAGCCCAGGTCCCAGGTACCAGAGGGAAGCCAGTGCCGGCAGCCTGGAAAAGGAAGGCCTACTCTTGCACGAATTTTGTGCATCGGGCCTCTAATTATATAATAAATACATAATGGCTCATTTTCACAATACTGAATGACGAATAATTGTTTTGTTACCTTTACGTGTGAATATGAAATTTAAATTAATTAGCTCTAAGAATCTGTGCCTACTGAGACACTTGGCTGGGGAGTGAGCAAGGCTCAGGGAGTTTGCCCAATGTCATGTACCTGATAAACGGTCAGACCAGGTACCAACAACAGAGGCAGAGGAAACATTTATTGATCACCTACTATGTGCCAAGTAGCGCACTCTGAGAGTTGATGGATGTGTCACAAAGCCTTCAACCACAACTCAGGAGGAATGGTCGCTTTCTTTAGAGAGATTATGACTTGTCCACGGTCACATAGCTAGTGGTAAGAGGCTGTTGCCTGGTGATGAACCCAGCTCTCGGTTCCATTCTGCCAGGCTAGTGTCCCCTGCGGCAAGGACAGTGCCTTGTTTATGCCTCTACCCCATCCCTGCCGCGCATGCTCATTGCTGGCACTTGGCAGGCACTGCCTGGGTCTCTTAGATAAAAACATGTTCCTGGAGACGACATGCTGAGCAAAATGAAGTCAGGAACCGTCAGGCTGCTCGGAGGATGTCACGGCTCCTTGTCTCTCACAACCTTGGACGTGCCATCTGTTACCCTGCTCCCGCAATGCCACAGGCACACCGGTCATGCCCCCTTCTCGGCCCGCAGGATCGCCAACCTGAAGATCCAGCTGGCCAAGCTGGACAGTGAGGCCTGGCCTGGAGTGCTGGACTCGGAGAGGGACCGGCTGATCCTCATCAGCGAGAAAGAGGAGCTGCTGAAGGAGATGCGCTTCATCAGCCCCCGGAAGTGGACGCAGGGCGAGGTGGAGCCGCTGGAGATGGCCCGCAAGCGGCTGGAGAAGGACCTGCAGGCAGCCCGGGACACCCAGAGCAAGGCGCTGACCGAGAGGTAGGGCTGGGGCTGGGCCGGGGCCGGGAGGGAGCTTGCGGCCCTTCCCTCACTGCCCGTCCTGGGGCTGCCAGAGGTCCTTGTGTTTCATGAAAAGTGTTAGGATTTTTTTTTTTAATATTGAGAACTAATCCAAAAGGTTTTTTAAAATATATTTTTATTGATTTCAGAGAGGGAGGGAGGGAGAGAGACAGAAACATCAGTGATGAGAGGGAATCATTGATCGGCTGCCTCCTGCACACCCACACCGGGGATCGAACCCACAACCTGGGCATGTGCCCTGACCAGAAATTAACCGTGACCTCCTGGTTCACAGGACAATGCTCAACTGCTGAGACACGCTGGCCGGGCAAATCCAAAAGTTTTTAAAAAAAATACTAGGAAGGCTAAATCAGCTGCTTCCTGTGGGCCTGACTGAAACTGAAAGCCACTGGTTTACATTCTTTGCTTTCAACCTTGTAACAAACTTTATTTCCTTCATTGTCACACCATTTTGCACACCCACACCGCACAGAGCACGACCTCGCACCCACAGGAGGTCCCGTAATCCCCAGCTTCTCATTCATTCATTCATTCATTCATTCATTGTGTCCATTACCTGTCACACAGTCCTTCATTTACACCTCCTGGCAACCCTGAGGTTCATTGCCATTTTATAGATGAGGAAACGGAGGCTCCCCCAACATCCCTGAGTGGCAGAGCTGTGCGTAGATCCCAGGCTTACTGGCTCCGGAGCCCATGCTTGCTTTAGGCTGCTGCCCACGTAGAGGGTCTTTTATTATTGCTGTCAGCCCCTGGGTGGCTTCCCCGGAACTGTAAGTTCACACAGCCAGTCCGGGAAGCTAGAATCTCCACTCCGCAGCAGCTGCTGAGCGGGTGACTTGAAGGTCCCCCAGGGCAGGGCCCTCTAGGGGACATGCAGAGGGAAGCCAGGGGCATCTGGGCAGGAGGAGGGGAGAGCCTGGGGAAGGGTAGGGACAGGCTGAAAGCTGTGAGCCTCTGCAGGCGAGAGGAGAAAGCTGACTCAACAGTCTTCGAATCTACATCTGTTTGCTCCCCAACCACGTTTGTCTGTCTGTGTCCATCCCTCTGACTCTTGTCTCCTTAGGTCTCTTTCTGTTCCCATGTTCCTCTCTCTCTCTCTCCTGTGTCTGGAAATGGGAGTATTATGCGCCTCATCTTCACACAATAGCCTTTCCATTCAAGATGCCTCTGAGGACAGGAATAGTTAAACCACACCGCAGGGCCTGCCAAACCCCAGTCACAAATGAGTCAGAATGACAGACATCTCGACACCCCTCGTCCTAACTCCTCCCCTCCTGTAGGGCCTCCCACCACTTCTAAGAGCGGCTGTGCATTCAGGTAGGGTGCTTGTTAGAGTGTGGGCTCCCTGGCTGCCCCCCAGGGACCGGTTCCCCAGGCCTGGGATGTAGCCCAGGCTCTTGCATTTTTAACCAGCACCCCAGGTGCTAAGCTTAGCTTGTGCACCTTCTGCATCCTCTGCCTTCGATGCTTGATGTGTTCTTGGCCTCCCAGCATGTGCCCGGCATCACACACAAATGCCATCTGGCCCGCTCGGCCCAGCGCCTCTGGGAGGATGCCTCGGCGCCTGCGTTTTGCTGCCGGCGGCCACAGCCTGTGCTCAGGAAGTCAAGGCCACCTGACTCCTGGCCCCCCAGCATCCTCTTGGGGTTTCAGTGGGGACCTGCTTTTACTCCCATAACACGCCTCCGTGGTTTTCTCCCAGAGACGAGGAAAACGGAGGTAGAAGTGGGGGTCCCAGCGGCTCCTTGACCTCTTCCTTCCAGGGCTTTGCTCTTAGGGAGGGTCAGGGGTTCGGCCCTGTTCATTCTGTGGAGAGTCAAGGATTCTGTGTTGAAGGCCTGGGATGCTGGTGGAGGGTTAGTGTGGTTAGATTTTTTCCATGGAAATGGAGGGAGGTAAAGTTGAGTAGAATCCTAATTCTGCCACTAATTCTGTAGCTTTAAGTAAATTATTGGACCTTAAGAACAACTTCATATGTAAAGTGGGAAAAGCCATCCTTACCTCGTTAGGGTTATTTTGCAAATGAGTTAAAACGATGTCATAGCACATTGTTTCTAGCACAGACCTTGGTATATTGTGTCTGATGATACAAGCCGTTGCTATAGATTATATGGGAGCTCACATCTCCCCAAACGTCACAGGGAAATGCTTCCAGAAGGTTCTTGTGTGTTGGTGTGTCCACCTCCATCGGTACGTGCCTGTGATTCCTCTTTCAGGGACACATTCCTCGGGGCTCCCCCTCATGCCTTCTCTCCCTTCAGGTTGAAGTTAAACAGTAAGAGGACCCAGCTGGTAAGGGAACTGGAGGAAGCCACCCGGCAGGTGGCAGCTCTGCATTCCCAGCTGAAAAGGTGAGCGGTGGGCAGTGGGGGCAGTGGGGACAGTGGTGTCTCGGGGCCGGCCAGGTGCAGGCGTCCCTCCTGCACGACATGGAGAGCAGACCTCAGGCCGGGGCCTTGGTGGGCAACTGAGTGTCACTGGACTTTCACAGCATTTGTTTTTCTCAGATATTTCTCTTTTTTTAAAAAAATATATTTTATTGATTTTTTACAGAGAGGAAGGGAGAGAGATAGAGAACCAGAAACATCAATGAGAGGGAAACATCGATCAGCTGCCTCCTGCACATCTCCCACTGGGGAAATGCCCGCAACCCAGGTACATGCCCTTGACCGGAATCGAACCTGGGACCCTTCAGTCCGTAGGCCGATGCTCTATCCACTGAGCCAAACCGGTTTCGGCCTTCTCTTTTTTTAATACATTTTTATTGATTTCAGAGAGAAAGGGAGAGGGAGAGAGAGAGATAGAAACATGAAAATTAGAGAATCATTGATCAGCTGCCTCTTGCTGTGCTTTCAGATATTTCAACCGTAGCCTTTGTTATAAGTGATACTGCATTTCCACTTACCCTTAGGATATAGTTTCCTTTTAATACACACACACACACACACACACACACATATTAGAGCATAACAGAGTTGATTTGAATTAACATATTATTTCAGGCTAGATTCAAATATGGGAAAATACCATGAAAATGGAAAGCAGCCCTGACCGGTTTGGCTCAGTGGATAGAACATCGGCCTGCGGACCTAAGGGGCCCAGGTTCGATTCTGGTCAAGGGCATGTACCTTGGTTGCGGGCACATCCCCAGTAGGGGGTGTGCAGGAGGCAGCTGATCGATGTTTCTCGCTCATCGATGTTTCTAACTCTCTATCCCTCTCCCTTCCTCTCTGTAAAAAATCAATAAAATATATTTTAAAAAAAATTTGTAGGAAATGCAAATTTAAAAAAAAGAAAATGAAAAGCAGCCAGCGGAGATTTGGGAAACAGAAATACAGAGGGGGAAATGAGCTTTAAGGCAGTCGGCTTGGGTTCAAATCCCAGCTCTGCTAGTTTCTGATTGGGTTGCCTTCTTGGGGTATCAGTTTCCTTTAGTGAAACGGAGGTGCATGGTCTACCCAGGAGACTGTCAAGAGGGTCCAGTGAGATCATGCACTCTGAGTGCTTAGGTGCTTCTCAGAGCCGGGCAGGAAGTCCCGGCTGTCCCAGCTGCTCCGTGTGTCTCACCCTCCATCCTCTCTCTGCCCCCAGCCTCTCGAGCAGCATGCAGTCCCTGTCCTCGGGCAGCAGCCCTGGGTCCCTCACGTCCAGCCGGGGCTCCCTGGCCGCCTCCAGCCTGGACTCCTCCGCCTCTGCCAGCTTCACTGACCTCTACTATGACCCCTTCGAGCAGCTGGACTCAGAACTGCAGAGCAAGGTGGAGTTCCTGCTCCTGGAGGGGGCCCCGGGCTTCCGGCCCTCGGGCTACATCACCACCATCCACGAGGACGAGGTGGCCAAGACCCAGAGGGCCGAGGGGGGCGGCCGCCTGCAGGCCCTGCGCTCCCTGACCGGCACCCCGAAGTCCATGACTTCTCTGTCTCCACGCTCCTCCCTCTCCTCGCCGTCCCCGCCCTGCTCCCCTCTCATCGATGACCCCCTCCTGGCTGGAGACGCCTTCCTGAGCCCACAGGAATTTG